CGCGAAATACCTCACCCATTTTGAATGGCTGCATCTGTACCTACTCGAACCTCTTCAGATATACATCAGCTGAAACATTAGCTCTGAATTTTTAAAAAAATATATACATTTGTAATTGTGTGATACTGGCAAAAGATGAATATTTTGCAAGGCTTTGTAAATACCACAATGTTCTGGTTTGAGTATTATGTTTTTTATTTTAATTTATGATATATGGTGGGGGAAACAAGATATTAAATACAAATTGTATATTTTAAATAGGTTTATCCATATAATGGATTAACCTATTTACATTTTAACAAGATATATTTTTATATGTGCAATCGAGCTATTGCTCTATTCTCTATGTGGCTTGGTACTTCAGAACTTGTTTGACAACCCCCCCAACTTGCAACCTTCATTTGTCTAATTGTGTTCTCCTGTCTGTCCCCCAAGTACATATACATACTGTAATATGGGTGACAGGGCCTTCTCTTGCAATATGCTAGAACTCTGGAATGCATTTCCTCAGTATATCAGAAATACCTTCCCTGAGCATTTTCAAATCAAGGCTCAATCCCTTCTTTAGAATGACTGCTTTCCTAATGCATTCCAAATCTTTATATAATAATAATTATTATTGACTCAAGTTGAACTAATCTCATGTTGAAAGATGATATGCATTACACCGAGTGACTAAGCTGCTTTGTACTGGATGATAAAACAGAATACATTAATATCTGGCAAAATCTAAAGTGCACAATAAAACCCATGTAAATAGGTAAACTTTTAAATGCCAATGCATTGTGAACATTATTTTTTCCCACAGGAATCCTGCGAAATGGTGAGAAGCCATCCTGAAGGAGGATATGCTGCCACAATACTCCCTAACCATCATCACCATTCCCATTGTGGTGTGTTTGAAGATTTTGCCTGCTAGAATGCCTGGTTATTTGGTCTCCATGAAAATAAATTTTCTCTGTGCTGGAATTGGGTTCTGTTACAAACCCGTATACTTAAGAAGTTGGTTCTACCTTTTTTGTCATCACCAGTGAAAGCTACAGCCAAAGTCTTTAACACCAAGCCTGTGCTGATCACAGACCAGTTACCTAAAGGCACAGAGTGGATTACATATTGTGGTCCTGATGAAGAATTGTACCTTTTTTTTTCTTGTCTTCTGGGAAGCTGTCTTACTTTACAATTTCTATACCGTGGATTTTACTACAGAAGACAAGGACTGCATGTTATCTCAATACAATTTATACTTTTTAAAAATATATTTATGCGTATTCATAATTATAACTATCATCTTTTTGATTTTGTACATGTATGGATTGTGGAGAACACCCTTCATTTAAGGGTTTGGATCGGACACTTTATGTTAAATCTAATGTTTCCCTGTCCCATTACTAGATGATGTGGAAAATAATATTGGAAGAGTACTGAAGAACACTAAAATCATTACAATACCGTTTTTGTAACTTCCTGGAGAAGTTACTGTCTTGAAATAAAAACACTTGAAAAGTGAGATTGAAAACATGCATTATTAACCACAATGGTGAAAGAAATATTCAGAAGCTTTAGCATATAAAAAAAAATAATGTACTGTATATGATATTTTAAAATTGATTTTAAATATTAATTTGATTCTCAAGAAAAGGAATGTCAAATGTCTGTATTGATTCTCACTAAATTTTACAAAAAGCTCATTTGGAATGAAAGCCATAAGTATTGAGAGCTCTTTTATCTTGTTTTAATGATAACACTAATATTACATGAGGTATATACTGTATTTATATATAATATACATTTAGAAAATTACAAACAATTTTGAGCAAACATGAGGGAACTAAATAAATTCTAATGCAACTGGTTTAATTTGACATAAAAAAGATCAGAAATTTAATATTTTAGGTTAGTTGGCAGTTTAAGTTAGTGTGTATACAAAATAAAGATGTACCCCAAAGCACAAAGAAAATTACATTTTTTTCAGAAACATAATAATTCTGAAACATGAATGGATAAGTCCATATACATTTTTTATGTCCATTACAGTTATCACTAGTGGAATAGTTTTAAGATGGTGATGATAAATTAACTTAATTTAGTTTAATTGTCTGGATTATTCCTTAAAATTCTTTAATCGTGGCCTTGTAGAATATGGTCATCTATTAAAGGATTACTAATGGATTGCTCCAACATGTGCTTTTTAATTTCATAATATAATTTATTGCTCACTCTCAGAGACAGGTCTTAGTGTACAAAACAGGGGGTCTCTTGTCCAACCTGCTCAAAGCAACCAATTCCTTCCCTTCCTCCAAAAAAGCTCTCCTTCACGGTATATAGCAGATAGGATGGTGTTTGTCTTTTGTGTTTGAAAGAGTTTTCATTTGCCCAGTGCTGAATTTCACTGTAACTGAGCACAGAAATTTCAAGAATGTTTTAAAGAGACCTCAATAATGGAACTGCTGCTTCCAGGTCAATGTCACTTTGCAAAGGCAAAACTTTGGTGGAGACAATGGAAAATTCATAAAATTCAAAATTCAGAAATCGCAAGGATGAAATAAATCTGTATATTTATGGCTGGGTGAATACTAAAGTAATTTTAAACTATAAAACCTTTCATACAACACTCCACAGTTCATTTTTCTAAATATCAATCTCATAAACTAGATATAAACATTCAAAATGTCATTTTAATCACCATATTTGTGTATGTATTACTATACGTAGAAATTATTTAGACAAGATATGTCACACTATGCATAACATTAAGAACATTTAACTTGCATATAATTCATTACCATGGCATGAATTTTTAATGTGTAGAAATCGCATATCAGATAGTTTGATAGGTTCTACACCATATGCCAGCTGCTAATTGCACAATGCATTAGCCATGGATATTTCCAAAATCATATTACCGTATAATTATATATATTCATATATATCACAGCAACTCACTGCATCTAAGCAGTTTTGAGCCTGACCAGAACCTTGATGGGAAAGCTAAAGATGTTGCTGGAAGAGGTGTTAGTGGGGCCAGTAGGGGGTGCTCACCCTGTGGGCTGTGTGGGTCCTAATGCCCCAGTATAGTGATGGGGAAACAATACTGTAAAAAGGCGCCGTCCTTCAGTGAGGACCTCACTCTTAGAGGTCATTAAAAATCCCAGGATGTTTCTTGAAAAGAGTAGAGATGTTACTCTCGACTCCTGGTCAAATTTCCCAGTGGCCTTTACCGATCATGTCCTCCTAATAATTCCCATTTCTGAACTGGCTTCATAACTCTGTTCTCCTCCCCACTGATAGCTGCTGTGTGGTGAGCTTACTGGTGCACTTTGGCTGCCGTTGCATCATCCAGGTGGGTGGAACACATTTGTGGTGGAGGGGAGTACCCATTACCTGTAATTATTATTATTTCACAACATGAAATTAATGAGGCAAGAGCAAAAGCTGATTATTAACTGGAGAAGCCACTCTATACTGTTAGGGTTCTATTTTATTTTGTACTAATCTCTTAACAGACTTAACAGATTCAAATAATTAACTAATTAATTCAGAAAATAGATATTTGCTTTACATAACCATGCCTTGTTTTTTCATCTGAATCTATATAAATATACTTTCTGCAAAAATATCTATATTTTTATGATGTACTGTACATGCAAATACTCATCCTTAACTAAAAGTCAGAACCTTATTTCTATTCCAGTGGTATATCTGATGTCAGAATTGTGTATCCTAGATTTTGAAAATTCCATACGCATTTCTAAATTTGTAATATTCTTTAATTGTAGGATTTGTTGTATTTTTTTATTTTATAGTCCTAATTTCTGGTAACTGATACCATATTGTGTGTTCACATTGATAATTCACCAGTTTGGACTCTGTTTTGTCTTTTATGTATTGTATGTTTTTTACTTAATTGTTATCAAGTAAGAAAGTATTATAGCAAGAATACAGTAGAACATTTAAAATGTGACTAAAAAGAATTCAAACAAAAGTGGTTATCAGAAAAAATATACATGCAGTATAAACATGGAAATGTAGAGAAGGAATTGAAAAATCATGATAATGAATGGGAAATGTGTATTACAATTTGTATAGAGGTCTATTGTTGTGACTTTGAATTGTTTAGTTTAAAAATTTTATAAATGTATTGACAAATAAAAATAAAATATTAAACTTAAATGTATTCATTCAAACTTTTTCAGTACATGTATCAATATTTACCTTTTTTATATGTGTCCATCTTTATTTACCTTCTGTTCTTTCACTTAGTGACTGTGATAGATTCAACACTCTCTGCATCTATACAACATACAGAAGAGTTAGACCATGCTCAGATGGATGTTTTAAATGCAAGTCAAGAAAAGTTATGCAAAACTGCAATGTCCGAGTTTATCGGAAATAGATAAATTACTGAATACCACCAGTTTCCTAGAGCTCTTCTAAAAGTTTTTTTTATTGATTTAGACTTTTTGGTTTGAGAAACATTTTCAAATCTGATGACTGGAGGGCTTCAGAGATAGATGGCAGGATCGCTCTGTTGAAACCATTCTAAGGTTAGCATTTCAACACTGCTTAGACATTTTTTATGCTCAGTTCTGGATTTCGGATCCCAAGGGAACTTTAGGGTGAGTGATAATTTGATCTTATCTGCAACTTTTTTTTAGACTTTTGGCCGCCTATGTTGTACAGTATATTGCCATGCTGAGAAATTGAATTCCAAAACAGAGTCCGATCAAAAATCGTAAGAAAACCCGTTCTACCAGATAAGCTCTCTTAATTTTGTCATTTAAGCTACAACTAGATGTATAACTAGAATCAACATCTAATAGTTCTTGTAAAAAAAAAAAACCTACAATGGCCTGAAGTTCGTACACATTTCAAAAGCATTTTTCAGCTGATTCAAACTTTGCCTAAATTCCACCAAATTCCAAGAACTTTTCTCAGTGGATTTGATTGTTTTTGACCTTTTGGTTTGGGGAACCTATAAAATCTGATGACTGGTGGGCTTCAGAGAGACATTGCGAAACTGCTTGTTGAATTTAGAATTAGCATTCCCATACTACTTAGACACTTTTTACGCTCAATGCTGGAGATTGGGGCCAATGACAATGTGCTCGTATGTCCAACTATTTTTTTCAGAGATGGTGCGGTGCACTGTTTAGTAGTCGTATCCAAAAACTGAGGCAGTCAATTCAATCATTATAAAAAATAATAATAACTTAAAGAGATTTCATCAATGGTTTTGATTGTTTCACACTTTTTGGTTTGGGGAACATGTCAAAATTCAGGGACTGGAGGGCTTCAAATATTTATTGTGGAATTATTCATTTGAAATCCCAACTAGGGTTAGATTTCCCACACTACTTAGGTAATTTTTACACTCTGCAGCCTAAGTCAGCTTTAGCATGTTATCTCTGAATAACTCTGCCCACTAAACCTCTTTCCCACAATTACACGTAGGGCAAGGTCACGTAGCTGATTCACAGCTCGATACAATTTTATCTTTCCCTGGGAAAGCAAAAAATCAGATATTTGTCAACATATTTACTAAAACTATCACTCTGAGTAATCTTACTGTGTTAGTCTAACTATATGCCCCAGTGCATCCCTCAATGTTCATACATAAAATAAAAAAAAACATTTTCCGCATTGTCACCTCGCACCAGGGGGGAAGGAAAAGTGCCCACGGTCATTTTTTTCACTGACAGATGGTACAGATGCAGCGTGGTGACTGTACAGCACTCTGGTCCCCTGCACATAACAGGGCTGCTAGCTGCTGGCTTTTGGTGCTGAAGGAGGTCATCTGTAGCCCATCTGGAAAAACCTCTGTTGAGCAAAACAGGAGACAGGAGCAGTGAGGGCAAAAGCCCAGGAATCTGAATTTGTTACATTGTTATTAATAACATATTCCTTATTACATTTAAATTAGAATATTTTTACAAATATAAGAAGAGGTTCACAATAAACTATAATAATGGACTATTTGTATGCATTCAACTCTGATCGCTCTTTTAACGGCCTTGGTGTAGTTCGCTAAATTACAGTGCTCATTACCACTGCAAGGACAATATATTTTTTTCCAAGAAAGAAATGTCAAAATGTTTCCAAAATGTCCACTTGTGATACTTTAGCTGCTTAGTTACACAATTTCATATTAATATAACTATCAAAGTGATGTTAAATCACTACACCATTTATCTTTTTAAAATAACAGCAAGTGGTGTTCTTACTATGTACACTATTCTTAGAAAAGGATAAAACGTTATAACATTTTCTGAAATACAGAATATAAACTTAAACTGTTAGAACAAGCACATTAAAACTAGAACCCATGTAAGTTAGCAAGTTAAGGCTTTGAGGCCAAAAATATTTATGCATAATTAAAATATTTGTGATGAAAGTGGAAAGTTGTGTATGTAGTGTGCTCTCTGAAGGCACCAGTTCTGTTGGGTTTGGGCATTTACTGGGACAATTATTAATTGTAGCAGTAAATCACAAAATTGATTCTTTTGATGGCTTTAGAATCCAACCATGCATATAACTCAAACAACGCACACACACAGATACTAATACACAAGGATACATTTATTACTACATAGAATATGCATATAAACCTAACAGATGTTATTGAGAGGGTTATCAGAATACAAAAGGTATATATTCAGTCAGTTACAAAGAGTTACATATATCAAGAGGACATACGTTCAGTATATCATTCATTTAGACTGTTTCGTAAATGAACTTGGTTATAACTTCTACATTAGACACTCAAAACAAGTACATAAC